TCAGAACAATGCATCTCTTTTTGTTTCCAAGCCCTTTTTTTAAGTTCAATTAGAACTTTCTTGACACGTTCACTATAACAGACTTTTATTAATTAAGCTGTTTGTGTAGGTGTCCTGAGTTTCTCCAGTGCTGTGGGAGCGCTAACTGAAAAACAGAGAACAATAGAAAACAACTTGCCAAATCACATCAAGGGGGTTTAAATGCTTTGCATAGGTAACATAATTAGGAAAAGTACCAACTACAGATTTACCTCCAATAATATGTAAACATTTTCCATGGCCTGACTTCTCTTGATCATTTCAGAAGAAACACCAGAGGCTCTAAGCTAGCAAGTGGTGCCTTCTAAATTAAGATGAAAACAACAGGAAAAAAATAATCTTCCACTGGTCAAAACAAATCAGTAGAGCCATGATCTGATGATGCGCTTCACTGCTTTTTTTTCCTAATCAATGTCATCAGCAGCAGCAGCGTCTGTTATGCAAGCAGGGGTTCAGAAATAACTCTGCAGACAGCAGCAGGGAGGTAAGCGTTAGCAGGGGGAACCTGGGATGCTTCAGTGGTTTGATGCTGCAATCAGAGACGGGATTGACAGGGTCATGATCTGAGCCAAGTGTGCTTCTGAGTGCTTCTCCGCTCTCTCTTCAGAAACTGGAGCTATCTGAGTATTATCTGAAAGGTCAGAGAGGGCAGGGGAAGACTGCAAAGACCCAGTTTAACCAGTGAGACAAAGGCTTTTACCAGGGCTGCCAACGTTAATGCGTTAAGAGCATGCCATTAATATGAACATTTTAATGCGTTAATATTACATAATGCATAATGACGGGTTTGACACACATGAACGACAGAGAAAGGTGAAATTTTACACCACAGCAGACAACAAAAGTTAAAAAGTTTACAACTTTCTTGTGTTGCGTCATGAGCCTGAATGTGCATCACCTGCATGAATTATGCCGGTCACTCAGCAGGATGAGGACAAGCAGCGTTCATCTCATCGCACAACTTTCATATGAAATAAATGCAGAGGGACGTTTCTAAACTAACGTTTAAAAAAAAAAGGTCCTCTAAACCTTCCTGAATATAAAAATCTGGAAAGCTGATCATCGTTGGACATGTCTGGTTTGAGACAACAAAACATTTTCTTAAACATTATTTGAAAACATGCTTACAGAGGCAGTTTTTGATAGAGGGTATATGGCAGTTGCCCAGGGCGACATCTGAAAGGGGCGGAGCACCCAAGAACTAGAAAATAAAATGGATGTTATCTGTCAGTTGTCCCCTGAATGACTTTGCTACTACTTGCATGCAGGTGTAGTGGAGTAAGTTTCCCTTAAAGGTAAAGGTAATTTTATTTATCAATCAATCAAATTTTATTTGTATAGCACATTTCAGCAGCAAGGCATTTCAAAGTGCTTTACATAATTAAAATAACCATGATTAATCACCACACCAGTGATTAATCTGATCATTTTTATTCATCGATCAACAGCACTAGTTTTTACTTTATCCATCTAACAAATCTTGTCTTTTCAAAACGTATTAAATGTTTATATTATTGAATTCTGAGAATTAATGTTTTTCCACTCTCCAGGCCTCAAAGGCACTCCTTCCATTATCTGCTCCCCAGACATGAAGCCCATTTTGAGCTGGACAGAGGAGCAGAGGGAGTCTGGACGGGAGGAGGCCGGCCCTTCAGATCTGCCCCAGATGTGTCCTTTAATCCTGTAATTAGCCGCAATTATAGTAACAGATCCAGGAGATGAAGTGATCGTATTTGCACACTGATTTATTCCTCCAATCACGCGACACCATGCTTCTTTTGGACACATTTCCACTTCCTCGCCTCCTGCTTTATCTCCCCGTTCTGTCCTGATACTCCTCCTCCCCCCTTATCTCTCCATACCACTCTCCACCTCCACAAATCTATCCAACCCACCCCATCTCTTTCCTTTACCCCCACTCCTCCTTTTTGTCCTAGGTGTAATTCATCAGGTTTCCAGCCTGAAAAGCGAGGGACACTGAGCGGGCTGAAAAAAAAGAAAGAAAATATAAGACAACAGAGCAGGATGGGACACAACAAGGGCCCCTTCAGATGTTGCAGATGATGCCTTTAATCCTGTCAATAGCTGCAATTATAGTAATTATCTCTAATAGCGGAGCATTGTGTTCAGCCTCTGATATGTTTAACAGATGATGCAGAGATGTGCCGCCTCCGCTCGCCGCGGAGGGAGCTTAGATTGATATTAATGAAATCAACAGAAAACAAGACAAAATTGATGATGGTCCCAGGAGGTTTAGAGGATTTTTTCAGCTCTCAGTCGAGGTTTAATGGAGGCCTCAGAAATGATATGGAGCGTCTTTGTGCTGCACAGAATGAGACAAGAGACAGACTGATGCCAAGAGGCAGAAAGGACTCACAGGATAAAGGAAAAATACGTCCTGGAAGGACGAGCGAGGAAAAGACACTGCGCTCCGACGAGACGCTACATTCAACACAGGTTTCACTTCACTACACCGAAGATGACTGTTCTCTCTGTTTTCCATTTGGAAACTTGTTCAGAAAGATGCATTTATGTACTTCAATAAGATTTCTACGAACAAGGTTGTTTAGCTGACTTCATCAGACCTTCACAGCAGTTCTGAGCTCAGTGGGAAGCAGAAAAGATGCAGAGAAGACTGAACTACAGCTACATTTAGAGTAACATGTGGAATGAAAACATATTTCAGGGGTAGTTTTACTACATTGTACTTTTTACCTTTACTAATAAAAAGTGTATTGAGATCTATTGTTCCTGGACTTTCTTGTCTTGATGTTCATTTCTAACTGCTGAGCCATTTGGAGATCAATAAGACACAGTAAACAGCAGATATCATCACTAGAAGTATCTCACTTACTTGCTATATCCACTCTAAGTATTGGTTGCATTTTTTAAGAATGTATTTTCTGCCTGAGTTTAGCATTTTATAATTATGTTATTTGTATTTTTTATTTAGTCATTATAAATCCAGAATTTGCACAGAACTTTATAATTTTGTCTGATTATTTTAAATATCAAATCATATGTTATGAAAGGTTTCTTCCAACACAGGTAGGCTAGCGCACTAGCTAATAGCGAAGCTAATTTTTAACGTTGCGTTTTTGCTAACATTTAGTACTACATTAGTCTTCCTACAGGCTTCATTGGGAGGCCATTTACAATACAGTGAAGTCGTCCTACTACACAGTATAATTTTTGTCATCTCTACACACCTATAAGTGTGCGGTCACTGATCACCGCTGGAAAACGGTGAACTGCTCCACCATCGGACATAAATCTCTTTATCAAACAGAAAAGTGGAAATATCTCAAAGTTTCGAAACGAGAAACGCCTCATGTTGCTGTTCGTCCGTTTTAATGTGTTTTAGATCATTTTCCTCTTGGAACAACCAGGTATGTCAGAGTTTCCACTTTATGTCTATGAATCTGGCATCCCATATCTGTACACCTGGTATACCGCATGATCAAATGCAGCATGATGCAGCCACTACCATGCTTTACAGTTGGTACATACATAGTCGTCATGTTTAATAGACTCAATTTGTTGCCTCCAATCATACTTTGATGTCTGTGTATTCAAATAACTCAAACTCTGACTGATCTCTGTGACCAGCAGTCAGTCTGTGCTGATTTAAAACTTACAATGATGTTTCCATTTCATGCCAAAGAACATCTTATTCCATAATCCTTTCTTCTGAGGGCGAAGGTTCAGGTCATGTTTGATACTTGGACAGGATAAAACTGTTTTTGTGTTAAACAGGCTGAGGTCAGCTCTGTTGATGTTTTATGGATGCCGCCGTGTCAGTGCCTGGAAATGAACTCAACTATTTCCGTTTGAAAAGCGTCGTTGAATATTCAGCTGCAACTACGCCAGGAAACTCCTGATGAACTCTGAAGCAAGAGAACGGAGGTTTTCACTGCTACACAAAAATAAAATCAAAATCTATATAATACAATGTTAATGACAGTAATGTGTGTATATGCACATACAGTTGTAAGTCTAATAAATATCAGATTCAACTGATTCCATCCAGATATTTTATACCTGATATTTTAAGAAAATTAGTAAAAAGACGTCAAACGGAAGAAAAACTTCAGAAAGCCCAGAGAAGTATTGATCATAACCACTTTAAAATATCAGAGGAAGTCTGGCAGCTTGGAGGGCAACTAAAGCGAAGCATCTCTGACCACACACACACAGCAGCTTCTCTTCTAAGAGGCAGGTTCTTGATGCAGTGATATCACAAGCAGACAGAGGAGAGCCGGTCAATAATTCATTAGGTAGAGGGTTAAACTCAAGTTCAACCTGAATAAACACCCTACAACCACATTCCTAGGAATTCACCAGGGTCGTCCTCACACACTCATAAACTCAAACTCTAAAGGCCTTTAACTTTCTCTCAGGTTCACAATCTCTCAACGTTTAAAACTTTAAACTTACCCTTTAATTTCATCCATCTATTCATGATGGATTTTACATTTGATGAATCATGAACTGACAGTGTTATAACAACAACTTTGCTTTCCCAAGCTGAGCTCCAGCACGTTTGGTCAACTGGTTTTCCCGCTGAATATGCAGTACAATGGCTGCTGGAGAAGTGTTGTTGTTATTGACTCACCATCCAGAAACCACTTGCTGCATTTTTGTTGATTGTGCAAGAGGCTCTACTTCTGCTTTTCAAAGACGTACAGTTGTATTATTGTGCATCTTTTTGCAGCCATTTTTACGTGCGAGTGTAAACATTGAGTTGGGGGTGTGGCCAGTAGCAGCTTGTTTAGATTTAAAGTGACAAGACGCTCACAATAGACAGAACTGGGCAGAGTAAAATCTCATAATCTAAGACTGATTTTGTGCAAAGAATATAATGAACATGTTTTGTTCACCTGCAGAAATTTATCCTAACTTAATAGGTCACGTTTAAAATCTCCCAGAAATAATCCAAACTAGCGACCTGAACTGCTTACCTCATACAGAGTGATGACCCCGTTGGTCTCATTGGGAGCTTTCCACTGCATGAAGATCTTCTCCTCATATGGAGTATTCTGCAGCGACTCCACCGGCACCGACCCGGGTACTGCAAAATAAATGATTTCTTTTTTCATTCATTTTGTATTTCACCATATTTCATACATTTTCACACTCCTTGCTGCAGCCATGGTGTCTTGCTGTTGTGTGTAACTTGTGTGTAAATGTTGTCCCTCATAACACTTCGTCAGACTTTGAGGAATTCTAGTATCTTCAATTCACAACAGTTAACAGATCGATTCTGTTTGATAAAACCTCTCTGAAAGTTTTAAACTCGTTTCTCTTGTTTCCAGCTTCGGCGTCATCTCCCATGCACATCGGTGATTCATTGCTCAGCACAACTTTTCTCAATCCTCTGCAGATTATTTTTGCTTCTCTTTATTTCACAACAACTGCAACAAAAATGGCTTACATTTACTCTCCTGGACGAATCTCACATTTCTTTCCATCAGTTTCTCATTTTTTTGAAATGCTTTGATGTCATAAGTTGGTTTATTAAAAGGTTTTTTTTTAGATTTTTTTCTGCATGTTTGTGAAATCTTTGAATCTCCTGTAACTTCCTTAAAATAGGTTAAAGACTTAAAGACATCTAAAATGTACAAATGTATTAAAGTTCAGCTATCATTTTGACCTAAAGCCAAACTATAATAACAAAAAAGAAAAAAAAAAACTAAGACTAACACTCTTTACATTATCTGTGAGATTTGATTTAATTGATTTAATAATAATGTGCATGACATTCATGTATTTCACAGAAATTTAGAAAACTTTTCTAATAAGTTGCCAAGCGTTGAGAGTTGGAGAAAAATGTGAAATTAAAGTTATTCAGCATTGAAAAAGAAGATTTGAGATAAATTCTCAAAAGTATCTAAAATGTAATTTCAGTTTTTTGCAATTTAGTTCCTCCAATTAAATCTAACAACCTTTTTAGAAGGACTGCATTTCTGAAAATAAATCTTTAATTGCTGCTTTTTCCTACAAAGAAAAGCTTCAGTTTCAATCAGCAAATTAGAAATGTCATGTGGAAGAAAACATTTCCTTCGTATTATATTACTAAAACTTTAGGTTTCTGGATTACTTGCTGCATTTAAGTGATGTTGTTATCAAAGTCCTCAGAATGAAAACCATTTTTGTGACATTTGTAACTTTCTGATTAAATCTAAGAGAAAAGTTGAGAACGTCTGCTGAGCTCCTAATGGGGGTTCTGATGAAACGTGGCTCACGTTGGGATGCGTTTAGTACGAGCCCGGCTATTTGTAGAAATTAAAGAAGGCACTTCCTAAGCTAAAGGAAGACAGACAGGCTGTAATGAAGGCATGCAGGGAATAATCCTGAGGTAACCCTGCAGACAGAATAATGGAACGACTGCTGAGACAAAAAGACAGCCGGCACGCTGATTTCCACGAACTGCAGGCGGATTTTTGACTCACTACTGGGAAACAATCTTGCATTTGCTTCAGAAAAAAATGTGTCAATTTACAAAGTCAATTACAGATTCATTCAAATGACTAATCAGTTAGAAATTTTCACCTTTGTGCTTTTATTTCAATTACTCAAAGCTTTTTTCTTTCTTAACATCCAGCTCAGTGACTTTACATCGTTACCTGTCCAAAACCATTTAAGGGCAGCAGGTTAAACGCTGTAACACAGGCTCAGCTTAGTAAACAGCAAACTCTACCTAGTAACAGAGCAGGGAGAGTATTTGTGTGTGTCTTTTCAGGAAAACAACATATTTCACACTCTACCAAGGTGTACAGACGGGGAGGGGAGTGTCAGACACCTTGTCTGGGAGAAGTAACAGCATGTTAAACATGCACAACCAAAACTACACACATAAACTGAGACACACTGACAGGTGTGAACTGTATAAAATGTTGCCAGGAGGAAGAAAAACTCCAAAGACTTATTTTGTTTGTTGTGCTTAAGGTGCTACTCAGGTTGAAGTGAAAAAAAAAACGTTGTGTCTCATTTTTGAGCATTTCTAATGTTAATCATTAAACTGCAAAGTGAGGATTAATTCTGCAGGTTTCCACATTAGAAGGTCAGAAGGCTGATTATATTCTGTAGGAATTTAAATCCAGGATTCATCGTGTCTGAATTTCTACTTTACAATATTTAAGCAACAACAAAATCATTTTCAGTTCAGCTAGATGAGTCTATTGTGTACTTAATGTTTGCAAAGCAAAGCCTATTTTCATGCACACTGCTTTCCAAGCACATAATTTAGTTGCTAAAAATAATCAAACATCAATAAAAAGTAGCAAATGAAAGCAACAAATTTTAATCTTTCTTGGGAAAACATGAAATAATAAGCATAAATATATTTCTGAATTATGCTGGGATGAACTGAATTAAGGGTTATGCAATTTTTAAACAAGGTTTCACATTTTCCTGGTCGATGTTTTAAGATTATCAGAAGGATCATCCAGAGTTGGAGCAAGCAGCTGCAGTAAAATCTCCTCTAAATCCTGTTTTGAATCATAAATTGCGAGAAAAAAAGTCAGAAAAATGTTTCAGAGAACAACAAAGCAGATGGAAAAGGCCAGCAGCTTCGTACGCGAGTCTTGGTGTTTGGATTTGGACTTTGAAACGAAATCAGTCCTGTTCTATCAACCTTTACATACTGTGTACTCATCAAACAGAGACAAGCGTTTCATGAGAACAGAGATGACCTTGCATGTTTCTAAGCTGATTCATAGGAAGTTGAAAACTAATTTTCAGAGGAATGACAAGAAAAGGTTTAAGAGCACAACAGAAAATTATGTTCTCTGGTTATTCGATCATCCATGACTATGTTCATGTCGGCAGCTGTTTTGGTTGGGTAAGAAGTGAGCCTCTTGGAAAAAACCACATCTGTTTTGGCATAGAAACAATTTTGTGTGACATTTGAGAGGGAAGGTAGATCACATAGTTCAGATTTCTACCCAACATCTGCTTAATCAACCTGATAAGGAAGCCAAGACGGACTACACCGTAGGAGAAACATACGGCGGTCAGAGCCCAACAAGAGAAGCTCAATGTTCTTTTTGACATTAAAAAACTTCCCTGACACCTTTTCCATGATGCTCAGACGTCCACATTTGGTTGGACATCATAAAAACAAAATCACAAGAACACAGAGTAGAAAAGTAAAAAAGCCTTGTGAGTCAGATGTGGCGATGCGCTCATGAATACACAAACATTTTAGGAAACTGTCGGAAGATTTTGATAAGTAATTCCAAGGTGTTGATTAAGGGCCCAGCCTGTGGAGTGCATCAAATTACCCTAAGAAAAAAATGCAATTACAAACTGCTATTTCATTCAACACCTTATCACTGGAGCGTGTGTCTGACGTCTGTGCTCGCTCTTATCTTCTCTGAAACAATGTCTGCCTTAATGTCTGAGGATATCTGGTGTTGGTGTGCAGCCCGAGCCGCCCTCGACACCTGTGAGTCTGAGCGGCTCCGTCTTATCTGCTGTTTGTCTCTCTTCCTCTGTTTCTGTGTGAACGTGTGTGTTCCTTCGCTCCTCGGAGGCAGAGACGGAGAAAAACAGTCTTCATTGAAAAGATAACAGCAGCTGTAACACATTAATCATAACTTGATTAACTTCCATCGTGCCACACATTGAATGCTCTGCCTCATTATGCGGGCAGCTCTGTTTTCTACGTGTGATTCTCTCCTTTGTTTCCGTTATTTCTCTCTAAATCCTTCCTTGTGTCCTGAGCTGAACTCAAACTGTCATTACTGGCATGTAATGAATCTGTTTTCTCCTTTGTCCAAATCCCATTTCAGGGTTTATTTCTTCTTAACTCTTAACTCATACTTAAAAAGAACAATGTTTAAAATACTCCAGCAGTGGTGGGCAACGCAAGCTAAAAAGTTAGTTGTGCTAATCCTGAAGAACTAATATAAGATTAGTTCTTTATGCCAACGTGTTATACCAACATGGTATTTAGCAGAAGAGCTAACTTTAGCATTAGCTTCATTTCCTATACTTTTAAAAAACATCTGCATAGATAAGCAAGTATTTTGATGCTGATTTCTACCATTATAAGTTCTATTTTTTTGAAATATTGTCATGTTTTTAAAAAATTTCAATTGTTTTTCATATAAATCCAGTAGTATTTGTAATTCATGTGGTTCAAGATGCCACAATAATCAGAGGTTAATCCTCTGAGAAAAATAATGAATAAACAATTTTTTATAAGCAGTAGGGAGTAAGCAGCAGTGCTGCTGGATTACATTTCACACTATAATCAAGGGATTACAGAGCATATTTTAGTTTTTCATGCTTTTGTGAATTTAGACAGGTGCTTTAGACTTGGGTTTTGATTTTTATTCTTTTTCCATACATATTTGGCTTTGACCAAACTTAACGGCAGGAGTTTATGACAAAAACATTTCTAACCAAAGTAATTGTTTTTTTTACTTGTCTGATCTTGACCTTCTATGATGAAAGGATTATAAAATGTCAGTCATTGTGTTGGAAGATCATCTTTCTGCACTGTAGTAGTGATAAATGAGGGCATAAAGACGGGATCTGAGATCAGTGTATTTGATATCTGCTTTTTGAGGCATTTGAAGATGATATTGGATATCTACAGATAAACAACTTAAGCCTTTAACATCTAAAAATACTACTTCTTTACCAACAAATACTCACACAGCCCCAGTGTTCTCTTACATGATAAATAAAGTAGGTAGAAAAATGGTACATCCCAGATCAGTTAAATTACTCATTTTTTTAATGTATTTTTGAAGCATTGGACCAGAACGTCTCAGTAAGACGAGAAAGCCACAGCTGTTTGGTCACAATGACAAAAAGATGAAGCTTTGAGAACTAAGACATTTTTGCAACTGTGAAGCACGGAGGTGGCGGTATCATGCTGGGAGAATTTTAACGGTCAGTGGTACTGGTATATTACCCAAATCCTTTATAGCCAACACAAAAAGACGCCTAGAACTTGATTTGGTGTATCGATCCAATGCAATCAATGCAAAGCAGACAAGACAGTAGGAGAGAAAAAGAGAATAAAACATATCTGGAAGAATATGAAAAAAGTAAAATTCATATGCATTTAAGAGTGATTTTAAGGTGGATGTAACTTTGGGAGCAGAGCAGCTAATGAGGGATGTAGAGATCAGCTGGAGGATATGAGCGGCTGGAGATCTGGGCGGTTCTGGACACTAAACTCTCCAACATCTAACCGGGTCGTAAACAGATGAAAAGGGTGTTAGCAGGGCTGGAAGGATGTTTGATTACCTTCAGATCAGTGTAAAGATGTTTGATAGGCCTTTACTGCTGGGGAGTTGCAGCCCAATAAGTTTAGATGCTTCTCTTACAACCATATTGATTCCTGCCTCATCCGCAGCTGAGCAGCAGCCAAACTGTAGAAACACATTATCTGTGGAAGGCGCCTAAAACTTCCCAACATCCCTAAAAAGATCAGAAAACGCTTACAAATATGGCTGGTATTGTTAGGATCAGAGGATAAGATGGTCCCTCTTGCTTCAGTGCTTCAGGTTTCAAAACTGAAATAAATCCAGGAAAATTCATGAAAAACATTTATTGCTAAAAAAGTAGGTGGCTGATACGGAAGAGGATTAAGGCTCAAGAATTACAATTTCTGACCTTAGTCTCTGAATTCTGACTTTTTATCTCAGAAAGTTAAAGTCAAAATTTTGAGATTAAAGTCAGAATTAAAAAAAAACAATAAAATAAAATAAAATATTTCTGAAATAAAACTCAGAATTCTGAGGAAAAAAAATCACAATTCAGATTTTTTTTCTTCAGAATTCTGACTTAAATTTTCTGAAATCAAAAGTCAAATTTCACTGATTTTTTGTGACCCTAATCCTCTTCCGTAGTTTGAAGTCACATTCTCCATGAATATTTAGGCAGATGTTAGTGGCAGTGAACGCCTCAGTCAATGTGGCAATAAATTGAAAGTTTTCATTCAAACGTTTTATTTTTAAATAATTTCCAGCTTAAAAACAATTAAATGTCTATTGAAACCGGTGTATGTAAACTTGTGACTGCGGTGGTGAATTTAGATGATGAGAAAAAATATTAAGTCTTAATTAAAACCTGAAAGGCAGACATTACTATTATAATCTAATGACAATGAGTCATGGGGGAAAAAAAAAAAAACTAATTTCATTTCTTAATTGCAAATCCTTCATTTAGAGTCTAAACACGGGTTAAAGATAATTTCTGTGTAATCAGCAAGACTGGAAAGTAATAGAAAAAAATCCTATATATGTATGTATATATATTTATATCTGTGTGTGAGAGAGATGGAAGCCGATTCATTTGCAGGAGCCATTACCGTACAAACAATAATTAGCCTCCGTGTGAACAATTGCTCTTCTGTTCCCTAATTACTGAGCTACAGCCAGGAGATTAACGGCGGTTAAACAAAAAGCAATTAAGAACAAAACAATTACCATTTTTTTAACCCTTTAAAGCCATTTCCACTACGCAGATGTGTTTGCTTTACTTTTAGGGAACATGCAGTTTGTGCGTGCTCAGCTGGTGAAGGTTCAACGTTCAGGCTGAGAGCTGATGTTCCCCAGAAGCTAAATTCAAAACATATTAGCTACGAGACGAGCGAAAGAACAGGCAGCCCTGCGAATCAGACACTAAGCTATTCCAGTTTATCACAGGCAGGGTGCTGGGAGAAATATAAGACATAAATGAATTATTAGCAGTTGTGGAGGCGCTTGTTCAGTGCAACATGAGGCCCTCTGGACAGAAAGCAGGAGGCTTAAAAAGTCTGTTCTGATATTTTCTGAACTGCTGGACAACACATGCACTCAGGGCGCTAATAATTTATGCTAGTAAGTTGTCCTGCCGAGGGGCGCAGCAGTATAAACAGAAATGTTGATTAGTGCAATTTTTGAAGGTTGCAGGCATCAGTGTGAAACTTCTGCTACTTTAGTAGCTCCAGAGATCTTCAGAGAGAGAACATGTGAGAACCAGCAGTTAAAACGAAGACGGCTGCATCTGGACTCATATCTACGGCCGAGTATTCGGGCCACTGTAGTTTAAGAAGATAAAATATGTGGCCACAAAATTTCTACATTAATTTCACTAATGTTAAAGAAAAAACTTAGATGTTCCACAATGTAAAAAAGTTGAAAATGTGCAAAAAGTGTAAATTTAACAATGTTAAACTACAATATTCTCTGACAACATAAAGTCAGATATTTGCACCACAAAATGGCACAAAAAGTCGCTACTAGCTTCTTTTTTAAGTTGCTAAGAAAAATTCTAAAAATTTTAGATTAATCTTAGAAATTTTCTAGAAAAAAATTACATTTCTGAGTTTGAAAAGTTGAAAATTTGCAAGAAAAACTTCTGAAATGTTAAGATTAATCTCAGGTTTCTATAAATAAATTTCTGAGCTTGAAAAGTTGAAAATGTGCAAAGTTTTTTTCTGGAAAATTTCTGAGCTTAACCTATAAAATTTTTTTGTGTTTTCCTGGAATTTTTTAACTTTTAAAACTCAGAAATTACAAAAACAAAAATCTAGAACTTTTTTTAGATTGAACTCAAAATTGCAGAATTTTTTTCTATCAAATTTTTAACTTTTCAACCTGAGAAATTTCTCATTTTTTTGACAAAAATGTACTGCTTTTTTTCTACCTACATCACTTTAAATGCCAAACATATTTAAAACTTGACAATATGTGAAAAGTCCAAGAGGTGTAAATACTTTTACAGGGGACAGTGAGGTGGTATCAATATTCACAGGTGACCTGCATTAATATTTGGTAAACTCGTAAACAAGCTCCCTTGCCGTGTCTCTGCGCTCTACATTCCTTAAAATAAAACGCAGCTTGTTCAGATTTGCGTTAAAAGCCTAAACTGCTGGAAACATTTTCCGTTTTCTTCTACAGTCTCCGTACATCAGAGACACTTTTTGCTTTCATGTCTGCAGCTGAGCAGCTCCTGAACCCACCTGTCAGTCACCCAGTGTGGGTTAGACAGCGACATCTCTCATCCTGTCCCTCCTGTTCGAGCAGTCTGCGTTCGGAGCAGGTAGGCGGCTGGTTCAGCTGTTTATTTTCAACTAACCGCCGACGGCGGTTGCGAGGTGTTTATAATGACTCATTTTTTGGGGAGCCGGAGGGTTTCTCCAGGGAGAGCCTGATCGCATACCGAGCTGCTGAAATGCCTCGAGATTCTACTAACCTGCTTGTATTTTGGATCAATAGAGTATTACGAAGTTTGATGCTAGACGTGTCAAAAGCATTTATTGTTGCCCACCGTCCTCCTCCGTCTGTTTGACGATCTCCTCGCTCTCCTTGCTGCCCTCGGGGTTGGCCAGAACGAGGCGCAGCCTGACCGTGACGAAGGGCCTCAGTCCCCTCAGCGTGTAATGAGACGACGTCTGGATCAACTCCTCAGCTGCAAACTCTTGCTGATTGAACACGTACTGGTACTGAACCTGCAAAAAATATAAAACATAAACACAATGTTTAGCTCGCTTCAGGCTGACTGAAACGATTCTAGCTGGAAAAAGCAAGAGAAAGTATAATTTAAACGTCAAATGACTCTAGGACTGTCTAGGACCTCCTCCTTGATTATGATTGTTTGATAATTGTCGGTAATTTCAACATTCATGTTGACAACCCCCAAGACCGAGGGGCAAAAAAGCTCTGTAATATATTAGAGAGTTTTGGTTTAACACAACATGTCAAACAAGCAACACACACTCATGGACACACACTGGACCTGGTTATCAGAGGGTGTGAATGTTTCCAGTGTCTCTGTAACTGATGTCGCCTGTCGAATCACTTTGCTGTTATCTTTGAATGTTCTTTATCCGTTAACCCACGTGGACAAACAGCTACTATCACAAAACGTACTTTCACAGAAAACACAGCAGAAACATTTAATCAAATCTACTCTTCTTCCTCGTCCTTAATGACGTAGACAAGTTGGTAGATGATTTTCAGTGCAAACTTTCAGATATCATTGATTATATTGTCCCCATTAAAGTGAAGGTTGTGTCTGGTAGGAAGAAATCTCCATGGAGAAATGCACAAGCAGTTCAATCTGCAAGACAACTCTGCCGTAGGGCCAAACGGAAATGGCGTAAAACTCAACTGCATGTTTATTATGACATCTACAAAGAAAGACTACGTAACTATCACACAACACTAAAACATGCAAGAGAGACTGTCTTTGCAGATGTCATAAACAAAAACCTTAACAATGCTCGAGCTCTATTTGCTACTGTTGACAGGCTCACAAATCCTCCTGTGATGCTGCCACCTGAACTTCAATCTAATGCCGCCTGCAACAAGTTTTCCAGTTTTTTTTTTCAGAGAAAATTCAAAAGATCAGAGGATTAATCTGCACATCCTCTACAAAGCCAGTACCAATGCTGTGCCCAAACAAAACAAATGCAGGAAAAATTACCCAATTTCAACTACTTAATTATAAAACCCAAGAAGAAATTATAAGTCAATTAAGCTCCAGTTCCGGTTGTCTGGATGTCCTACCCACACATTTCTTTAAGAAAGTCCTGCCTGTTGTTGCTAATGATCTGATCCAAATAGTAAACTCATCGCTGTCTTCAGGTGTTTTCCCCCAGGCTTTGAAAACAGCAGTTATCAAACCACTGATAAAAAAGAACAATCTGGACAAACACTGGGTGCCTTTAAATCTCAACTTAAAACCCACCTGTTTAGAGTTGCTTATGGCTAAATTAGGGTTAGAGTGCGGGTTTTGATGTCTTCGATGTTTTTAATGTTTTTATCTATTTATTAATGTCACATAATGTTTTTATTTTTTCTTTAATTATGTAAAGCACCTTGAAATGCCTTGCTGCTGAAATGTGCTATACAAATAAAATTTGATTGATTGATTGATTGATAGAAAAATATAAATATTTTATTAAGATAAATTCATTAGCAGTCAGACTTTCTTAAGCAGTTTTCTCCAGGTGTGCAGCTTTTTTAAAAGTCATTTTCTGTCCTTTCTGACCATGAAGGCCTAGTCTCCAGTTTGTGCTTAAAGTTGGTTAGTAAATAAGCTGTGGACAAAAGGAGACAAAGACAATCTGAAAAAATATACCAAAATTTCAGCTAACTCCCATTTAACTTGTTGGTATTTTCTCTTTGTCAAACTGTTTTATTTAGCATAATTCACAAAATAAGCTGCAAAATGAAGAAAAGTGTGTCTTAGATATGATATATTTCACATTAAATTAGAAATGAAAGCTTGAATATGGAAATGATGTATTAATATTTGCATTTGTTATATGTTTGTAGCATATGTAATGCTCGACTGATCTAATGATTTTTCAGATTTCTCATTTCTGCTCATCAAGCTCTGTGGGAAAGAGTAAAAACTTCTATCAAAGTATAATAGCTCAGTTTAGATGTATGCAGATAAACCAATCAGATTTCAAAGAAAATCTTTGAAAAATCTGCAGAAAGTCCAAAAAAAACTTTTGATCAATCCTGTTTAAAACATTATAGGAAAGTCTGGCTGTTCAAACGGGAAATATTTGGAGAAACAGATCAGAAATTCATCCTCCCAGCAGCTGCTAGACTTTATATCCATCACTAATTAGTTTCTTTAAGTTAGAGTATGCCATTTTTAATAATTGCACAGTATTATGCAAATTTGTCATTAATGTACAGTATGTTGCTCTTTGTTTCACCACTGAGGGTAGATAAGGTTTTTTCTTTTCTATTTGTTTAATATCAACTAAAACTTTCAGTAAGATTGAATTAATTTTGAAATATGCTTAAACCAAACTGGTAGAAAATCTTTTCTTTGGCACAAAATACTTTATTGGTGGAGAATAGTTGAGTGTCAGCTTTGTGACGTCGCTTACCGTCAGATTGTAGCTGTGGCATCGTGTTACGGCGTATCCAAACGTTTCCCACTGGATGGTCAGCTGGCGGGCGCGGACGTCCACCACGTTGACGTTCTGGGGTCCGTGGACGGGATCTGAAGCGACAGCAGACGGAGAAACAGTCGGATCAGAGCGGGAATCGATCCACTGATCCCTGGATTCGCTTAATCTGGCTGCAGTCTGAAACAAACAGCTAATCCCTGATCACTGGCTGATTCTGCTGGCTTAAATGTCTGCAAATTAACTTAATGCTACACATAATTCCTTACGAATGTAAGATATCATTTAGGAAGCTTTGGAGTAAGATTGTTAACCTGAGGAAAGTACCGATAGAAAAAAAGTCACATTTTAGATTGCCAGAACATAAAAAAATAAAAAATAAAAAAAATAAAAATAGAAAACTGCACTCAGAAATATATGCATTTTTTCTAACATGTTCAATTGCATAAAGACAAAACTAAACAAAAAAAGTAGTAGGATAGTATCTCATAAAATGCAGATTAAACTGATCCACTGGAAAAAACAGAAAGTCTTTACATAAAACATCCAGAAGCAAAACTGCAGAACTGGAGGCTCTGAGCAGAAAACAAAACCAACAACTTCATCATGAGCAGGTGTGACAGACAGGAAACAAAATAAGAACAACAAAATAAAACAGGAAGTCAACGGATCCAGAGACATTCGATCACCAGGGGGCGCTGCAATGTTACAGGGACAGCCGCCTAAAAACAGATCCCACAAGGAGCTGACATCCATTTACTTATGATAAAATACTTAGAACCAAAGATGATAAAACAACTTTCATTTATAAATTCAGGTAAGTTTTCAATTGTTCTGTTCAAAAGTCTTGATTTGAATTAATTTTATGTTTTCTTTCCAAACTGGTTTGGCTTTATTTATCTAAACGTCTATTAAAGTTTTTCTTTACTGCATTTTAACTCATTTTTATCCAGAATCTGAACAGTTTTGTTTATTAAACCACTGAATTCTGTTAAAGCATTAATGAACCAGTATATGACTCTATTAACTCCATAAATCCACAATTTTTCCTATTTTGCACAAATTAAAAATCTCAAACTGCTTGAATGATAGAAATTATGACTTTTACCTCCATTAAGCTGCATGTAAAACAGTAACAGGTTGAAAAACTCTCAGATTTCTGTGGTTCTGTCTGAGGTCTTTCCTGGATTTAGGATTTTCTTACAAATGCCACAGATAATGTTCTTTTTTAGTTTTTTCCTCTTAATAAATTATAAGCTGCACAGTTTGGTGTCAGACGGTTTTTGGAACAAAACAGAAAAATGAGTGAAAATCTGCCAGTTCCATAAGAAAAACATAGAAAGACTTACAGAAATCTGCAGAAATATTAATCAGATCCATTTAAGGATTAAAGAAAAGTTTGACTGCTCTGGAGTTAGAAACGGAAACTGCACTGCCAAAAACGTAGAGTCGGTTCTTTAAGAACAAACCAAGTCATAACGATTTCTCTACAGCTACAAACAGATCCCAAACTTTGAAAACTCAGAAATATGAGATTGCCTTGAAACAGAATCAAAACTTTAAAGCTGCTGTGGTTGATACCATACCAGTTGGATAAACTGGTACGGATAAACTTAAAGTTGGATAAACTGGTATGGATAAACTTAAAGTTGGATAAACTGGTATGGATCAACTTAAAGTTGGATAAACTGGTATGGTGGCATCTAAAAAACAACCTTCACTCAAATATTTTCATGTGTCATCAAATAATGAATAGAATTGGATTTTATTGAGTAGTTTTGACTCTGGCTACAACAGTCAACCTGTCCTACTTCCATTCACACACACACACACACACACACACACACACACACACACACACACAAACACACGCGCGCACACACACACACACACACACACACCCTCCAAGCACTGTCCCAACCATATGCTGGCCCCTCATCCGCTGCCTTCTCTAACCACAACTGACTCCAGTCTAACAAGCTTGTTGAAACTCATCTTCCTGTGAGTCTAATTAGCTTCTATCAGCTAACGACGGCAACCAAAGCAGGTCACTGCATAATTTAGAGGCTGTACTTTTTGGAGGAAAATTAACATTTTATTAATGGTGGAGGTGGAGCTCCTCCTAAAAAAAATAAATAAAAAAAACATGTGCAGGAGAAATGATTCCTGGCCGTAAAGCAGACCTTGGATGCTGGATAAACAACCCAGCCAATAAATCTACCTCTAGATCTCCACATTGATTCACAAACAAAAAGTTTTTTGTCAACACTTGGGGAAATCTTTATTTTTATATTTTGCTTTAGTTTCTCACCAAAAATTGTAGACAAGAGATGCAAAAAAATCTAAATGTGGTCAGAAAATCTTCTTCAGTGGATAAGCTGCTGCACGTGAACTGAACTAATTTAAGCATATTTCACAAACTTCTCATTCCATTTTTGTCTTTAATTAAATACTGGATTGATCAATGGGAAAGAATCCAACCGACATCACTAATAGCTTTGTGAATGCAGTCGAGTGCTTTAAAAGATTATTCGCTCAAGCTACTTAAATACGATGTCAGATGAGCCAAATAAGACAAAGATTAGACAACAGGATCCTGGATAAGCTGAAGCCATCTGAGCTCAATGTTTCTGCTGGTTCTGTTCACATCCAGCCCTGTGCCTTTATTTCCATCAGTTTAACTCCAGAGGTCTGGAAAATGTCTACCTGAGCTCATGTTTTCCCTTTGCTGGTTGGTATTAAATGTCTTAGAGAGCAGCTGGTTTGCGGATTTGAACTGTTGCGGTGTCCTCTGTCTTATTGTTTAATCCCGGGTCAGGGTTTGGTGGGGGTGGATCATTTCTGAGTGTTTTGTTTCAGAACAGGGAGGTTACCATCTGCTGCAGGTCTTTAGGTGACCAAAGACAAGATTTCTTTACCGCAGTTTGTAAACAAACCTTCTAATAAGTATCTCTATTTTGTTCCTGTGAGACGTTTTGTTTGGACAAAGTCCAAAAACTCAATTGAAGTTGTTTATTGCCGACCAATACTGGTTTTATAGACTCACAATCCATTTCTACCTCCAGCTTGACATTTAGCAGTGACTGCAGCAATTGTCGGTATGGTATTCAGATCATCTGGACAACCTCACAGCCAAACAAAACGTCCTACTTTTCTCATGAACATGAGCTGCCAGGTGTCGCAACATGACATTACAGTGAAACGTCTCCATAAACTGCCGCTTTGTTCCATTTGGCGAAGATCAGACAATTTCACTGAGCTTAAAAAAACGTGTAAACAGTAAATCCTGCATGTCTGGGTGATATTCTGCAAACTTTTAGGATGCAACATTTATGGACCATTTAAAGAAAGTTTGTGCAAAAATTATAGTTTTGTAAAGAAAATGTGATAAGGTTATAAAATAGTGAAGTTATAGAACATTAAAATTGCTAACAATACCAGCATAACACTACCATCATTATTAGCACCATAATTATTATTAGCATTAGCATAAGTTATCATTTTATAATCTTTTTTTCTCTTAATGTCTGAACTTTAATGTCTGTCTAACTGTGCAAAAACTTTACTTGTTTTTTGGAGTCAACCAGATGTCAAATTAATTAGGAATGATAAATTTGAACATTGCACCAACCACTGGTGTAAATTCAGGTATGATGCTAATTAGATCCACTAGGCACATAAGGAATAATGCCGAACTTGCTGAATATTTTATTAATGCTGTTCTTACTCAAAGAAGGCCTTTAAATTGAGTCAAAAATGTTTGTTTTTTCATCATTACAGTATAACAGTTACAGGTAAATATTACCAAAGTCATGTGATGTGCAGTCCCAGCAATCAGGCAATGGAGATTTTTCCTTTTGCTCCAGTGGAAGAAAGTACATCCTGCTTCAGATCTAAACTTTTCCAGAGAGCAAACAGGAACTAACCTGTAATTATGCTGCTACCAGCAATAGCACACACACACACACACACACACACACACACACACACACACACACACACACACGATGTAATTCCTATAATCCCCCATCACTGAGTCATGGAGTGAATAAAAACAGGTTTTCACAAAAATACATTAAAGCTTATCTGGCCGTCAATTTAAAGAAAAGATTCAACCTGAGGTTACTAAATCATAAATTTGCTCAGAGTTCTGGGATAAAACCAACAACAGCAAGTAGACATTTATTTAATCCTGTAGCTAGTTTGGTTTTTAAGAATCCTAATCTTTTAGTAAATCTAACTAATGCCAACATGAACCCTCACTAATCGGAGATGGAAGTAGCTTTAGCAGAGTTAATCACCCGACTTAAAACAAAGTTTGGATCATTTCTAAGTGTTTGTTTAAATAGACCCATCTCCCTCCAGTGTCAGGGGGTTTGAAGTTCATCTCCATCTCATTTCCTGCTAAATCGAAGGTCATCCGAGAACCGATTTCTAAAATGTTTGCTGAGAAAACAACTAGCTGCAGAGAGATGGAGTGGTATGGAGAGCAGGAGAGCTTAAGTTTGAATTATAACTTTGTTTACATCGTTACAGTGATGAGACCTCCCCAGATGACCTTGGTCATGACAAATGCCAGATTTTGTATATCATTCATTTTCTGCTCCACTCCTTCCTCACACCGCATTAATTATTCCTTTCCACATCCATTTCAGTCGTTTCTTCACACCCACTCTGGACCTGGCTGAACCTCTAACATTTGTCGAGATCAACAGAATGACAGACGAACGTGCTGAGAAATATAAGATCATTAGGTGTCTAAAACAGGACTTAATAATCAATAATAAGTATGGAGAGGCTGGGTTTGGCATGAGAACGCGCCAACTGACAGATGGGATAAAATATGTATGCATGGAGGAAGAACAATATGGCTCCACAGGGATATGGTCCCAACAGTGGCTGCTGGCCTCATTAATCAGGAACGGTCAAGGGTTGGCATGTTAGCTATCACACGCTGTGAAAGGCCAGAGTAGATGGCAGCGCTACAGCACAGTGCGGGACAGTGAGGCATGCAGCAGAGAGATTACAGCACCGCCTCCTCCACACCATCATCAATACAGGAAACACAAAAGAGCCGAACGTCGCCACGATGAAC